AGGGAATGCTATTCAAAGACTGAGATGTGAAGGGCACCCCACTGGAGTTGTACAATATAAAAGCCCCTCCCAGTTCAATTGTCTCCCCTACCAGGAAGGCTTTCTGGATGCAGACTGTAATCTCCAGGGGGCGGTGATTTTTGTCCTACCCAGCACCTAGAACAGTGCCTGGCTCATAGCAAGCAGAGAATGAATGTTTGTTGAATGCATGAATGAGCTTCTCAGTGTTGAAAAATCATTTGTCCTCTGTGCCTCACACCTTGTTCCTGCTTGTTGTTGAGCAACTGTTTTGTGTGATGTTTGAAAGTTCAGCAGTTCAGTCATAATTATGATCCAGTTCCCAATGATTTGGGACCTTCATTGTACTTTTTTATACTGGAAAGTGAGGGCTTCCGAGAGTCTGTAATTGTAGGACCGAAGACTTCATGCCACTTCTATATCCAGGTGGATCAACTCTACATAGAAATTTTTGGAAATTGTGCACACCCATGTTTTAATGTGGTCTGGAAGTTTTACTTCAGGGTGTGGTGCAGGCAGTGTAGGCCACAAATCATGGTTTGTGAGAAGTACTGTTTTGAGAGCAAAGGCACTGGAAACTTGGAAGCAAAAATAAGGAAGCAAGAATAAGCCCTAATGGAGGGCAGCAATGTTCAGAAGCTGCCAGCCCAGCCCAAACTTTAGGCACAATCACCCGCCAGCATTGCTGCCTTAAATTATACAAAAGGATGGTGTTACCACCTTTTATATAATTCAAGGCAGCAATGCCTTCAGTGTTCCGAAGAGTTAGAGAAGGGAGGGACTGGTGTCATAAGCTCAGGTAACCAGACCTCATATTTCTGGTAGAACCATCTGGATATGCAATTTCAAGTTTTGTATATTTAGGAGTTTCAGGCAGATCTAGCAAGAATCATGTGTTCTCTTGCATAAGCTACAGAGCCCAAGAACCTATCCACACTTTACAGGACGTATCTCACTTGACAGGCTATTTATGCAGAGGTGTCTTCTGTTGGCCTGGAAGAAAAAAAGGTCATTCAATCCTCCAGTGTAGGACTCAGGATAGGTGTCAGCACACTAAGGCCCCTGAGCCAAATCTGACCTACATTCTGTTTTTGTAAATAAAGTTTTATTGGAACACAGCTATACTCATTGTTTACCTACTGTCTAAGGCTGCTTTCGCTCTACAACGGCAGAGTTGAGTAGTTGAGATAGACTGCACGGCCCACAAAGCTGTAAGTATTTCTTTTCTGGCTCTTTACAGAAAGTTTGCCAACCCCTGACTTAGGAGATGAAGCTTCCCTCTACCAGTTAAAGGTGTCCTATTACAACTGCCTGTCACTTTAACTCTCACAATAAGTTTAAATTCCATGATGGTTGGGGATCATCTATCTTATGCATTGCTGTATCCCCAGGAACGTTTGCATAGTAAATGCTTACTACATATTAGTAAAAGTAATTAATTAAGGATTAAAAAGGTGGAAAACTTAGAGTGGAAATAAAATATGCCCTTGAGAGGCACAGAAATTACCAGTAATTTGAAATCTACATTGATTTCTTGAAAGCTATACATTCATTTTTGTTGTTTAATTTTTTACCACCAAGAGCTCCAGAAATAGTTACATGCTAAGTAAATGTTCTAGTATTGATTTCTATGCACCTAACAACTTTCATTTTAATTTTAGAAATGTTTGTATAGAAAATTGTGACCTTTGAGATGCAATAAAATATATACTTACCAAGCCCCAAAGCACCTTTCAGAGACATCTTTTTTTTAGAGCAAGTTTCACTTTTGTAGCCCAGGCTGGAGTGCAATGGTGCGATCTTGGCTCACTGCAACCTCCACCTTCTGGTTCAAGCAATTCTCCTGCCTCAGCCTCTTGCGCAGCTGGGATGACAGGCTCCTGCCACCATGTTTGGCTAAATTTTGTATTTTTAGTAGAGATGGAGTTTCGCCATGTTGGCCAAGCTGGTCTCGAACTCCTGACCTCAGGTGATCCGCCTGCCTCAGCCTTCCAAAGTGCTGGGATTATAGCTGTGAGCCACCATGCCTGGCTCAGAGACATCTTAACATCATTGCACTTACTTATTGTACTAGTTTACTCTGACTGCAGTAATAAAATACCACAGACCAGGTGGCTTAAGCAACAGAAATCTATTTTCTCATAGCTCTGGAAGCTGGAAGTATAAGATCAAGGTGTTGACAGGGATGGCTTCTTCTGAGGCCCCTCTCCTTGGCTTAGACATGGCCGTCTTCTGCATGTGTCTTTACATGATCTTTCCTCTGTACCTGTACATCCCTGGTATCTCTCTCTGTGTCCAAGTCTTCTTTAAAGATATCAGTCAGATTAGATCAGGGCCACTCTCACACCCTCTTTATAATTTAATCACCTCTTTAAAGACCTTATCTCCAAATGCAGTCACACTCTGGGGGACTGGGGGTTAGGTCTTCAACATACGAATGGGAGGGCTCAATTTAGCCCATGACACCTACATATATCTATATACTTTCTTCCTTTATGCAAGGCTTGAGTACTTGCATGAAATCACATGTGAGCTTGACTATCACATCACTGACCACTGAAAACAATGTGGCTAATCCTGCCATTTGGGCAGGTGTGCTCATCTCCCCTACCTTCTCCATCGGAGGAATTCAGATTCCTTCTGGGTCAAGGATTTACCGATGACTGTTCTTCCAGTTAAACTTCCAACTAAGTCTTCAAGGCCAAGGTTTGCCCTATACAGACAAATCATGTAAATACTTTCAAGGTACTACATATGTTTAGAAATGGGAGAAAAAAAGATGGTGGAGGCGTAAGCATGTTGGCATCCACTGGTAGTCCCATCAAGGAGGCTGAAGTGGGAGGATCACTTAAGCCTGGAGTTTGAGGCTGCAGTGAACTGTGATCACACCGCTGCACTCCAGCCTGGGCAACAGAGCAAGTTTCTCTCTCTCTAAAAGGAAAAAAAAAAAAAGATGGGGGACTACTTAACCTAACTGTCAACCATTGGAAATTGATTAGATCCATTATAATACAGCCATAGTATGGAATGTGATACAGTCTTTTAATAAAAAGTTTGCTGAAGAATATTTAGTGATCCTGAAAGCTCTGTACAATATTGTTAAAGGGGAAAAAAGCAAGTCACAAAACAAAATTTATGCATTTATTTATTAAATATTTATTGAGCACCTGCTATGGTCAGGCAGGCACTGTTTTACGTTGTGGATCTGATGGTGAATGAAGCAAAGTATCTGCCTGCATGGAGCTTAAACTGTAGTGGGAAGCACTGATAACAAACAAACAACTATAAAACATGCTATCAGCTCATGTAGTGCATTGAAGGAAAATAAAGCTGAACAAGAAATCAAAGAATAGCAAAGAGAAACAATTGTTTTTGCTCATTTAGTCAGGAAGGTTTCTTGGAGGGAGCAACATTTGAACAGTGACCTGACTCAGGTGTGAACGCTGGTCATTGGAGGGTCTGAAGGAAGAACATCCCACAGGGGAAAACAGCAAATGCAAAGGTCATGAGTGGAAATATGTCTGGAGTGTCGGGAGAACCTCAAGGGGGCCAGTGTGGCTACGGTGGAGTAAAACAAAGGCTTGTATCCCAGGACCAATCTGATTTCAGCCCTATGGAAATAAAATAAATGTAGAGAAAAAAAATTCCAAGGAGAGATAGCAAGATTATGACACTATAGGTCATCTTAACTTCCGTTCCTTTGATTGCCTACAATATTCTAAATTTTCTGCGTGTGTACTACTTTAGAAAGATAAAAATAACGAACGTTTTCATACAGAAGTTTCTGTGGAGCTCATTACCTTTGCTCTGGGCACTCTGATTGGTTGCTGGGTGTTTAGACAGCTACTCTGGCTGCGCCTCATTCCAGGAACAAGGGAGAGCCCCTGGCTGGGAAAGCCAGAGGGAGGTACTTATTCAGATACTCTCAGGCAAACAGAGCAGGCTGATTTACAGTTAGCCATGAAGGTGCTAATGTAGCCTCTCAATGGCATCTCCTGCTATCAGCTATCAATAGGTGTTAGCAGAATCCAATAACAACCTAATTGGCAGCAGAGATCTGAACAGATGTCTCACCTAATAAAAAGCCTTTGTGTCCAGGAAGCTGACCCCTTCTGGGCTTAGCTGGGCTTTGGTGCTTTGTTGTGTGATCCTTTTTGGCAGTTGTCATTAATCAGACAAGATGGTCGATTGTTGACTGCTGTGCAGACCAACTCTACGGGACAAACCTGGACCCATGGAGTGTGCTTAGACCAGGTTCCCTGAACTCCAACCTCAGCCTTGTCTTCTGTCAGCTCATTTACTCACACACAGGCTAGACTCAACGGCTTTATTAGCATCAATTGTAAATAGCTATTGTAGCCAGATTCTTCACCCACCTAGTCACACTGTGAGTCCCTGGTGGATTACTATGGACCTTTCATGGCACAGATTTAAGTAAATAAAGAGGCTGTTACTGGTGCTTATCTCTCTCCTTAACAAAGAGGGTCTGTGTGGTGTGAAGTGAACTGGCCTGAGGTTCCATCCGCTGGTAGAAATGACCCCAAAGACTTCCTGTGCAGGGAGGGCAGAGAAGAAAGTGCCTTGGGATAGAGATATCCCTTTTCCTCCTCCTGAATATATACCCCATCAGGTAAGGTCAAGACGATGGTTATCAGCTTGCAAAGGCATTTTATCTTCCAAACTTCTGCTTGAATCAATTACATTGGCGAATAGAATATGCATTGTTAAGTGAATAGCCTCTTTATTCTATTCTTGAAGGAATAAGGAACCAAGTGTCAGAATTCATGTGCATGATATTAAGACTAAATGCCCAGAGACAGCATTCAGACCACAAGTAGACCACTACCTTGAGGAAATGTTGAAAGGTTTATATTCTGTAATCCTAATTTCAAAGTTCACTAGTAGTCAATAAAAAAGGAAAAGGAAGTTGCATGGTCAAGTAAATTTGGGCCTCGCTACGTTTGACAAATTGAGCCAGGTTGTTTTACTGCAGAACTTATCAGATTCTTTGATGTGTAAGATAGTTAATGACTTAAGCCTTCTTACAAAAGAGTGGTATTGGGTAAAATACAGGCCAATCTTTATACAGAAGCTGACATGCATTTTTTTTCTAACTTTTGTATTTAGTGGTTCACAAATTTCTAATTAAGAGAAGAAGTTGAATTTTTTTCAGGCTTCCCATTTGTCTCACCAGTGATAAGCAGAGTTTTCTGAATCAATGAAGGGATGACTACATGGACGAAATGGAATGGAAAAGTAGATCAGCCAAATGTTCTCAAGAGTCTTGTTGCTTCCTCTCTGGCTCTATTTTTGTTACTGTGTGATTCCGGACCATTTCCTGTTATGATTACACTTATTGTTGTCAGAGGAAACCAATTCATTTTAATATTAGTCTGAGCAAAACATAATTAGGAAGAGAATCTGCTACCACAAAGGAAACATGTATGTGCTGCTTTGCATTCCAAAGCCCAGTACTTAGATAAACAAGCACATGCGTGCGGACACACTCACACACAGGCAGACACACATACGTACACATGGGCACACACACAGAAGAGTCCTCGCCACACAATCTCAAAACATCCTGCCAAGCCAATAAAACACAGTTTTAGCCACTCCAAGGAAAAGCAGCCTGAAAACCAGATGACTTACTGAGCTTTTCACACTTCCTATTTTTGTTTTGGAAGAGGAAAGAGAAGAGGTGATAGAGACGCGGAGAAAAAAAGAAGGGGATTGGCAATGGAACAGCTTGGAGGCTGAAGGATGAACTTCTGGCCTTCTTTTCTTAGATCCTTCAGTACGCCAGGCTCACTAGTGACATTTGTCTCTTGTGAGCTGGAATTTCTGGGTACTTGAAAGTTCATCACGTCCATTCAAGTGCTAAGGCTTCCTTCTTTCTCCCTTCTCTCCCTCTTTTTGCCCTTCCTTCCTAACAAAAGGATTTCCTCTTGAGTGTGTTGTTCACCCCACTTGGAAGGATCACCATTTCCTAAGCTGATGCAAGAGGTGGGAAAGGGTCTGGTGAAGACACGAAGGAGGAGCAGGGAACCAGCAAGTGAGAAATGTGAACCCCACCAGGCTGTGTTAGGTCTTTTCATGGTTTATTTTATTTAATAGCACAATCCTAGTCTGAGATAGGCATTGTTATCATCGCAGATGAGGAAATCAGGCTTACAGAGGCTAAGAAATTGCCCAAGGTTACAAGGTTAGAAAGTATTGGAGGCAGGATTTAAATACAGACAGGTTTACTAAGCCAGTGCTTTTACCTGCAACCCTAATATACTTCATTCAACTTCTTCAGGCCTCAGGGTTCCTATTTACAAAATAGAGATTATTCCTGTTTTCACTCCTGTCCCTCCAATATTTGTTCTCTACACAGTAGACAGAAAGATTGCAGCCATTTGAACTGGTCTCAGCTTCCAGGAGCACAATATAAAATTAATGTCTGCAGGTAGCCTGTATGCGCTGATATGGATCTACTCCACAAAATCCTCAGGGACCTGAGCTTCTTCCAACTTCACACTCTCCCATCCAGAGGGGGTGACCCTGGTCTTCATAGTCCAATGTAACAGCTGGAGCTCCAACCATCACATCTGCATTCTAGGCAGAGGATGAAGAACAAAATAAAGAAGAAAAAGGTCAAAACCACCCATCTTTTAGGCATGACCTTTGAATTACTCCATCATACTTCCACTCATGGTCCATTGGCCAGACAGTGTTACAGCTATACCTGCCTGCAGGAAAGGCTGGGAAATATAGTCTTTATTCTGTGATGCCATGCATCCAGCTAAAATTATGGGTTTTCTATCAGGAAGGAAGGAATGGCTATGAGGGGACAGTGCCCAGTGTCTGCCAGAGGAACCCTTTCAAAATGTAAGTTAGATCATGTTAGTCTGCTTAAAACTGTGTAAAGTCTTCCCACTCACTCAGGTTGAAAGCCAACATCTTTCAAGTGTCCAGCAAGGCCTTCCATGCCTTGTTCTGAAGAGTCCTGCTGCTTCCTCTCTGGCTGAGCCCTTCCTCTCATCTGGGCCCTTTGTTCCTTAAGTCTCTGCTGAAACATCACTTCACTGGGACCACCCTACAGAAAACAGTATCTGCTCTCCTATGACTCTCTGTACCCTTTACCTGGCTTTATTTTTGTTTTCTGCTTTTATCCTCACCTTATCCCACCTGACATAGTCTATATTTGTTCAATTTGTTGATTGTCGGTTTTCCTACTAGAACAGAAGTTCCATGAGATCTACGACCTCATCTGTTTTTTTCACTGCTTTATATCACAGAGCCTAGAACAGGAGCAGGCACACCGTAGACATCCAATAGACAAGAGCTGAATAGATGAACGATCGATTGAAGAAATTCTTGCTTTCTCCAACTTACAAAATTTGAGAGAAGATGAATGGAGGTTTCCAATCCTAAACAGCCTTGAAAATAGGAGGAGTCAAATATAAATTATGATTACTCTGTCCTTTGATGTCCTCCCATTTGTAAACGTGCTCTGTTAACTGTGAAGAATAACGCAAATGCTGTTGGCCTTTATTGTTTTGAAGTAAGGCACAGTGGGATAGAATTTCCAGTCGTTTCTTCCCAAAGGACCAGAGCTATTTATTCTAACTCCATTTCTTCCCTGCCTTCAGTTTTGAATGAACATGGCGTTGCTGCACATAGTTTCCTAATATATCACTTTGATGGTTTATTTCACCTTAAGTAGCATGGAATTGAAGTCTGAGACTGTATCAGGCTGATTTCAGGTCTCTTTTGCTTCCCTTTGTGCCATCGCAGTAGGGGAGAATTGTCAAGCTGTGCTTGGCCAAGTTAAATGAGGAGACCAGATGGTCACAAAGAAAGGAATTTTGGTCCAGGTTTAGGAGGAGAAAAGCTGGGGGCAAAACTCCTGCATAGTTTTTGACCTAGAGATCAGAACACTCAGCACTGGGGGTGCATTGTTGAATGCTGGGGTACCCCAGCAGAGGTTTATAATGTAGAGTTCCTTTTGGTGTTACTCTCCTAGGACTTTCTGCCAAAAGTTCAAAATGATTTTGCTGTGCTGGAGTGTTGGTCATATGGGACTTTTAGTTTTCAGAGACAGAGAACATTGATTTATGCTAAACACAACAAAAAGGAAAAAAAAAAAAAAACAGGAGGTAAAGAAGTCACTTTGGGCTTCTGCTTTTAGCAGGCAATTTTAAGAAGAAAGAAAACAAAATCCAAAACGGAGGGGGGAAGAAAGAATGGAAGGAAACAAAGTAGCTATATAGAAGGCAATTTTTAAGATCTCTATCCCCCAGCACAGACAAGGCAGCTGGTGCAGAAACCCAGAAGCTGTTCCAAGTTGCATGGGGAAGTGGCATTGTGAGCTGTCTGGCACTGAGACAGAGTGAGGCAAGAGATAGAAAGTCAGGCAGGAGAAGGTGGCAGGGGGCCAGGCAGGAAGCAGTCTGAGTGTGAACAAGTGTCTTCGTGGTAGGGACAGATGGAAAAAGAGACTTTAGAGAAAATACTGCTGAGAAAGGAAGAGCCTGACTTCTTAATGTCCTCTGATAAAGCATTTCATCGCAGCTGGTGTCCAGCAGTCCTTGTTTTTAATATGCTGACTGCTGTGCTTGATATAAAATGGCAAGGCTTCTGCTCTGTGGCCTCATAACTTGAATGTTACCCCAAAGGAATAAACATGAGACACTGTTCTAGGAGTAGCAGTGTGCCACGTTTGCCAGGGCAACTGAGCTTCTGCAGATTTCATTCTGATGGTCTCTAGCATGCCTTGGTGACCTAAGAGCCATGTGGCATGTCTATAGCTGAGATGATAAGCCACTTCCACGCCACCATCCTCATTTAAGCATTATAACCATGTGTGGCATGAAAGTGGAATGAATTATGGTCACCATTACAAAGATGAGAGGATTGAGGCTCAGTGAGTTTGGATGGCTTGTCCTCATTTGTAAAAGTGAGATTAGTACCTGGTTTTCTATCTCCTAATGTGTTTCTTTTTCTTTGAGTTATTTACCGGAGTTAGTTATCAATGCTGACTGAGTGTGCACCCTCCTAGACACTGTGGGGAGAGGCAGAAAAGGAAGCCACATATGATCCTTCTCTTTGGGACTCTCCTGACCTAGGACAAGAGAGAGGATGAATGCAGAAAGCTGAATCTATATACAGAAGCTACCACAAGTTCACACTTTACTGAATGTTCAGACATAGTCATATATCCTAAGGGCATTGTTGGAAGCTTCTGGAACAAAGTCTCTCGGGATTTGAATCAACTCAGCAGACTGACTCATTCACTTGGCTGTGGAGGCTATTCCAAATATTAGGAACTATGTATGTGGGGCCCCGGATTTGGGCCAAAAGATGCATTTGACCGGAGAGGAGGGATTGCAATTTGAGCAGAAATGAAACAGCCATAGCAAACCTGCCTGCCGTGGTTTCTCTGCTGAGATAATGGGACTTTTCAGACTCCCTGTAACTGGGATCTAGATATAAAGAGATGTCTGGGAAAAAAATGGTCCCAATTGTCGCTTGGCTTTGCTTTCATAACTCTCTGAGTGTGGCATATGTCAGACTTTGAAATGCTGGGTCTCTTGGAAATACAAATACCATCTGGGTCTGAATAATTCCCAGAAACCCAGGCTGCTCAGTAGGAAATGAGGAGATGGAAACATAATACTGAGATGAGGGGCTTGTCTTTGGGCCACCCTGTATCATATCCTAGACACAGTCACACTACTTGTACAGAAAATATCAGTGGGAAGACACTACAAGGCTCATCTTTTTAAGACACAGTGACCTCTGTTATGGATATCCTGATTTCTCTTCAAGAAGTGATCCTTCCCTCGTTGTGTATAGTCTTTGGGGTCTAACAACCAAGTCTCCCTTGTCTCTGGCGAAGGGTAACCTGAAACTCAAACAGGACCCATCCCTTATTCCTTGTTTGGAGTCTTGAGCAGAGTGACTGACAAGACTGAAGATGGCTTAAATTCCATCAAGTAGACAGTGGTTCTCTGAAGAGACTTCCCCTGCCTCCAACTCCCATGAGTGTCTGCTCCCCAGATACTCCAATCCTACTTCTCCAGCTTTACCTTCTGTTCCATGAGCTGCTTCCTTTTCTTTCTTCAAATCCCTCTTTTGCTAGTTGGACAAAGATTGTTTCTGTTGCCTACAATCAAATAACCCAAAAAGATAAACAGATGAAATCATAAACATACTTTAAGTGCTTGGGACATGCCTGCTTCTGTCCATCCTTCAACTCACTTGTATCAGAAGCTCCCTTAGAGGATTAGAGCCTGTCCTGTGAACCATGGTGGTTCAGAGTGGAACAGAGCAGAATGTGGAACACCAGGAATTTAGAGCAATCAGTGGAATGTGATGTAGGGTTCTATTTCAGAAAAATTACTAATAGTCAATTGCCCCTTGGCGTCTATGTCCATTTGCAAGTGTGGCATTAATTACAAGGCTGGTTTAAGTATCAGCAGCATATTTATATGCTGGGTGCTCAAGACGATTTCTGGCTAAACATGGAATTTCTATTTTGCTTATGTTAAAAGCCAGAACAGCAAAATGTATTCCTAATGTCACAATTATGACATTTATATCCTGAAAAGTTGCAGTAAATGGGCAATACAATAGTGGAATGCATGGAAACCTGCAAAGTTTTTGGTAAGCAAAAGGAGGGCCCTTTTAATGTTTTCAACGTGAAATTCATGCTCTTTGACAGTGATTGATAGAACATGCTACCAACAAGGTTGATAACATTTTACTAGAGGAGTAAAAAAAGAAATGCAGGAGAATCTCATAGCTCTGGGATTGAATGGAAAGCAAAGGAGGAGCTCTTCTAGGGGTCTGTGGGATGCCACTGTGTAGCTATTGAATCTCTGGGTCCATGGATGACAGCATTTGAGAGTATGGGCTGGATGCAGAGTAAACAACCTGCTGAGAGTAAAGGCCACTGCTTTATTTCTGTCTTCAAAATCCTGAACAAGTTCCTCTTTTGACCAACTCTAGCCTGGAACCATGCAGATCAGGGAGAGAAAGAGAAGGGCATTCTGAGAAAGATTTTAGTTTTGCCAAGTTTATTATGGAATGATTCAGGAAAGTGCAACCCCTATCAATTTGGAATATCTCTTTTTTTCTATGTTTAATGTCCAAATAAAGCAAAATCATGCTTTTACCTGTCTGACATGATGCAACTGTCCTTCATACAAATGAAAATAGACTAGCCCTCTCCAAGATAGTAGACACTGTGTCATTTTATTCATCATTGTGTTGTGTTTACTTGCACTTCTAGCTAAATTGCACTCCTCTTTAATATCCTGTAACTTAAATACCAACATATAAGGCTTACCACTTTTATTACATTTTATATTACATAGTAAATGAATAGGAGAGGGGGACAAAGAAAGAAAAATTATATATAATATATAATTAATAATTATATATTATATATTTATTTACTTCTATATAATTATTTATCATATATTTATATATCTTTATATATGATATATAATTATATATTATATATATTTACATATTTTATATAATTATATATATAATCACATACATTTACTCTACTCTGCCCTCAGGGTGTGATAGTGACTCAGTTTCCC